CACAAGTCACGGCCACAGACAGAGCCATGGTCTCCAGGCTCCAACGGCCACCGGGACTGCAAGAGGCAGAGGCTTGTCTTCGATGACATGTGAGTGTGGACTCTTGGTTGATACGGAGAGGGGCAAGGTGAGGTGGAAACGTCACAGGTAGAAATTATACTGTGGCCATGTGTGGCATGGCTGGATCAGTGAAATGTTCCCCTCTCGAAGGGAATCGCCACTTAATGTTGAGTGGACCCATGGGTCCTGGTGCAACTTTTGACCGGATAGAATGACCACTGCTCATGGGGTCACACCCAAGATGTCAGAAAGCTAAGGCAGTTGGCACTGGTGAGTCTTATATTTCAAAGCGCCTGTATTTGGGACTATTGGTGGTTGTATGCTACCAGCAAGAGAAGCATTTTTGTTTTTGTAAATTATCACAGGCAAACAATGATAGTGATTTACTCCTGAAAGCTCCCTTCCTCTAAAATGATATATTCTTTATAACACTATAAACAATTCTTATACAGGAGAAAAATACCCTGTCATTCTTCAGCCAGTCCTCTCACTAAAACCCAAGTATAACTTCCATTCCCAGCATCAATTTAAAAGGAGGAGAAACAAGAGAAGCAGATGAATAAAAATAGCCTCCTAGAATGCCCTTGAGATGCTGAAAATGACAAATGAGAAATGATTAAAATGATACTGGAAATTATTTAGACTCTTAGGGAAACAATACGTGTCAAGGTCAAGGATGAGCCTGGAAGGCAGAAGACATAGTTTCTAGAGTTTGCTTGACACCTGTTTTCAGCATTAGCTGTTCACTGAGCACCCAGTACCTATCTGTGTGAAGCACTCCTAGGGTGCAGCAGCATGTGACAATGAGACATCCTGCCCTCAGATTGCTTACAGTCCAGCTAAGGGAACAGACAATAAACCACTTAACCCCACCCAAAGTCAGAAAATTAAAGGGTGCTAAATGTCTGTAAGTCCCACATTCCTTACCAGAAAAAAAAAAAGATATTTGTGACACCTGTCTCCCGGGGTTTCTCCTAGGACCCAGTTAGATGCTCCCTCGTAAGAGTATTCGTCTGGAGAAATGAAAGCTCTGTGCAGAAGTGATGGCTTCTCCATCCTCATCTTCCTCCCCTCCTCTTTTGAGCCCTCATTTCACCTGAGCAGAGGCAAGATCTGTTTGTCACCTCTATAGACATCTCTGAGAAATGGGACTATGAAGCCATAGTCCTCAAGCATTACCTGGGCTTCAGTAAGCCAATTTAGGCATAAAACTTGGAGGTTGAAAGTCAGATCTGCATTTTGTTTGTTTCATTTACTGGACATGTTCCAAGATAGTTGGATTTACAAAAGGTTAAGGGTAGCTGAGGAAACAGGTGTTCTCCTCTTCCGATGACTGCTGCAGCTGCCCTTGCAACCCCACACATGCTCTCCTCCTGGCCCTCGCCACGTCCCCGTCCCCTCCTCTTCTCCACTGCCCTAAACAGCAAAGGAGGTGGCCATTATTAAACAAGAAACTCTCATGGCCCAAAGCTTTTCTGAAAGAAAGGATTTATTGAGGCAAATGCTAGCCAGAAAAGGACCAGGTCCTGAGGTGTGCAATGTAAACCATCAGCAGCGGGGCTGGATGGAGCAGGCAACATGTGTGCTGTCCTGGAGCTGACGGGCACTTTTATACCTTATGTTTTGAGGAAGAAAAATGTAAGTTGTTTTGAAAGACTTTACATTGGCTGAAGATATGGGAAGCTGGAGGAAGGAAAGTGGAGGCAGTTCTAGGACAGGTGCACAGTCCGTGAGGAAGACATATGTACTCCTTTTGATTGGTTACAGACAGCAGTCCTGAAGTTCATGGTTATGCGGGATGCGGTGGCATCCGGTGGTCACTACAGAAGTTGATTCAAAGCTCCAACATACATTTGGGAATGTGAGTTTATTGTTAGTTGGCCCACTGCTATTAACCGCTTAGTTACTCATCTCTTTCTCTCCCTCTCCACCAGCTATAATTTAATTTAGGACATCTCAGATTTTTTTACTTTTGTCATCATTAATCCCCTGGGTGTGGGGCATGTAATGGGAGTACCATCAGTTGGTCAACTACGGATATAATTAGGGTTCGGTGGTATAAAGTATTCACGTGAGCTTTAACCGTTTGTAAAAACAGATTAGAATTGTATGTAATGAGGACGCGAAAGTTTGCATTCAGAAGTCATAATCGAACAACCTGATCAAACACAATGTACTTTAGACACTGAGGTGCTCAAAGCATTAAACGTTTCCAGCAGGTGATGTTATGGATGTGGTATTTAAACACACACACTCAAACTCACACAGAGAAAGTTAAAATGTAAGGAATTTTCCAATGTATGGACCAGAAAACTAACACAGAAACAGCAACAACTAAATAGTTGCACTTGGTTCTGTAGTTTCTTGGGCTGTTTACAAGAGGAAGTGTTTTTCAGTCTACTGGGGCTGAGGCTAATATAATTTTGTTGCTCTGTGTATCAGCGAAGAGGCTGTTGTCATTGGTTCTTCCCATTAGCAGTATGTCTAATTTTTCTGGCTGACAGCGGCAATAAAACTGTTTCTCCTTTTATGGATATAGATCTAATCGAATAAAAAAGCACTCTTACATATCCATCATATGGAGAGAGAGATGGCATGTTCCAGTTGCTCTGTGTCCCAACTGATTTGAAACCCGTTAACAGTGACATAAACATGCGACTCAAACGGCCACGCAACCACTGACCTAAGAAAACTCTGGAAAGGTTCTAAAGGCTTGAAAAGCAAAAATAGGCATTGCCTCTTCCTCAAAACAATGAAAATAAGTGTCCTTGAAGAGATCGCTAGGCAAGGAGGTCTCCGAAAATTGTCTCCCAGGTTCAGTTGGTATGTGCTGAGCACTTACTAAGCACTAGGTACACTGGCAGGAGCTGTAATTAATTAATTAATTAATTCTCAGTTATTAATCCAGGGCAGAGGGAGGCACATGGGTGGCCTCCCCAGAAAGGTTTCCTGGCATGGAAACTTTAGCCTCCTCCTGTTCCCTCTCCACTCTCTGCATTCTAAGGCAGCTTCCCCACCAGCAGGCTTGTTGACAGATGAGGACCTGACTCCTGTCACTTTCCCTGATTTCTCATTGATGGCGTCAACAAGCAGTGAAATGACCAAAGAGAGGCCACCAGGAGAAGAAAAGAAAGAGCTAGAGAATTCACACTGGAGTAATGTAGTGTTGATGGAAGTCAGCTACTGTGATCCAAAAAGTAACAGATGCCACACTGTCATTTAATTTTTAAAGCCGCATCGTGCAGCTTTAAAAAAAAAAAAAGTAAACTCATTCCTTTGTATTATAAATACTCATCAATGGTTGAATAAACATGGGATTCAGACAACAGCTGAATCCAGTGTTGAATGAACCCAGATGAATTACAGTCACATTCCTAGGGCGGGGCTTGGGGGAGGCGGGGAAGAGGTGCTGCCTGCGTTTTTTCTTTATCCATGAATGTAAGGGAGCTGTATGCAGGTAACTAAATTCACAGGTTTCCAAGCCCCTTTTCCTGTGCAGCTCATCAATTAAACAGGCACATCTGTGCCTTCAGGATGCAGAATAGCACTTCTTTTAAAAACTTGATCCAGGTCAGCTGTTCTGCATCAATTGCAGGCTCGGATGGGTGGCAGTGTGACCACACCTCCTCCCCTGACACTTAGCCATGCATGCCATTCACTGCTTGACAGCCTGGATCCTAAGGTAACACTGGGTGATTACCAAACTTTTGTTTAAGAAAAAAATCACAAGAATTTATGTCAATGAGTGACAGCATTTGATTCAACTCAAAGCCTAGAAACAGATATTATTGCGAAGCCTTGAGCTATAAATTACTTGGTGTCCTAATTAGTGACAGGGGAGTTCCTGGCCCAGGGAAAATCGAGAGGGAACAACTGTGTCATGAAGGCCTCAGTACAGAAGTCCTGAGCAGAGCTCGGTGGTGAAATGCTTGGCTGAAAATCCAGCCTCCGTTCCCACCAGCCATATTGCTGTGCTGGGAAGCCCACGAACCCCTCGTGCCAGCTCTGCCTGTGCTCCCAGAAGGAGGTGCCCGTATTTCACAAGGAAGAGTCAGTCACGATCATCACATGCAGCCAAACTACCCAACGTCCCATCTGTCCCCAGCCCAGCTCCATAAACCTCCCAGCATTGAGAACAAACCCCCTTGGCCACGGAAGCCTGTGAAACGCGGCTGGTGGGGAAGGAAGAGGACTCGGCGTTTGTGATGTAATTATGTTCGGCAGCCTCACTGCTAAGAGGATTTTAACTTTATAGGGGATGGGAAGATTCTTGTATGTGAAAGGTCAGATCTCTGGCAGCATGCTTTAGTCAAAGGCCACCAACTGAAATCCTTCAGTAGGTGATGTGACATCAAGGCAAGACACGGCCGTGGAGGGATTGCTGATGCCACTGCTGTTCTCCTAAGGGGCTCCCTTTCCCAGTCGCTTCAAAGCTTGACCCCACCTTCCCCGATGAGCCATTAGGACGTCTTCCTGTTCTTCATATGGCATTTTTTCTATTATGAAATCCCTGTCTCTTGGCCAGTTCTTAGTTTCTTCTCACCAAAACAGAGAGAGAGAGAGAAAGGCCTAGGCTTGTGTGAGGTCAGGGACGCAAGGAATTCAGATCTCCCCGATTGAAATCTTAGCTCTCAGAACATTTTCAGGTTTGGTACAATGGTTTTATTTATAATGCCACACTCAGAGAAGAACAACCATCGGATTGATGAGTTTCCATTTCACTAGAAAGTTGCTTTTGACTGCATGACAAAACCCTGCAGCGCTCCGCCTGTGCATCCTGGAAAGCACATGCTATTTTCTATGCGTGGCCAAGAGAGAAGCAGCCGTCGGCCAGAGCCTGTGGCCTATGAGAGACAATGAATGATCCTTGGGGCCTCTGAGAAGCCAGGTTGCAGGGACTCCAGGGTCCCAGCCAACATCAAGGCAATGGACACAAAAGCTGCACCTGAATCTTTCCTGCCCAAATGCAGTCCTGCTTCCTTCAGGAAGTGCTCAGGGCCCACTTCCCACCCAGAGCCACTGACTCCGTAGTGCCCTCATCAATAGTGTCGCTTACTCAGTGCATCAAAATAATCACTTAACTTCTTACACATTCTTCTTTGTGGAGAAAGTACCTCAAAGCTTGGGACACAGTCACACCTCTGGGGCTTATCAAATGACAAACTGATAGGATGTCAGATGATGAATTCATTTGGTATGCAGTTGCCTGTTTGCCTGATTTGGATTTCAGCTTCCCTAAGAAAATTGTCCAGATTTCTGCTGTGCCAAGGAACCTGTTTGTTCAAACACATTGAGCTCTCCTCCTTGCCAGGTTTCGCGAAACAGGCTGGCCCCGCTGAAGGGGGGTGTTTCACAGGGGTAGAAATTGCAGAAAGAAGCCTGCCAGCCTCTCCGTGGGGGACCATTCCTCTGGATCTCAGCCACAAAGGAGAACAAAAAGCAAGCTTGCTTTCACCCTCCTGTGCCAGAAGAAATATTGGGGTAGCTCAAGCCCCAAAGCTGCTGAGAACTAAAGCGCTGTGTTTGTAGGTGGGGGTGCGGGGAGGGTGAGGCAAAGGATCTCTTTGGATCCAGTGCTCGGATTGTTTCTGTTGCCAAGAGCGCTTATAACAAAGACAGACATGGCTGAGCTTTGGTTTTTTAGGTCCCACAAGCCCTCTTTCTGAAGAGCCCAAAATGCACAGTTAGTTACATGTATGATGTTTAATTGAACTTTTTTATTAGGTTTGCTCATGTATCCTCATGAAACACCATCACTGTGAGAAACAATGCAAAGAATGTTATTATCTAAATGAGAAACAGAAACTCTAGGTTGTCAACGTTAAAAAAAAAAGTAGATTAGATGATGGTTCTGTTTGAACACTGTGATAATTCGATTTCATTTTAGTACCTTTGCCATGTGTGATAGTCTGTACCTGCCACACCGGTGACATCAATTTTATTTTCCTACTGACTTGAACATTGCTGTCAGACTGAAGTCCTCATGCTAGCATGCATCCACTGCCTGGCTGGACAACCTGCATGATGTCCCATTGGTCCCCTTGCCTTTATAATGATCCAATCTAGGAGCGTGGTGCTAGAAATCACCTAAAAGGAGAAAATGGGCCAATCATCAGGCAATCTTCAGTGACTCAGTGCAGTGAGCCCTCCATTATGTAGTGACAAGAATTCTAACTAATGCATTCATAAATGGCCTCTGGCTGGTACTTTTTTTTTTTTTCCTTCAGCATCTCGGGTTTCCATTGTAGCTTCTGTGATAGAGTCAGAAAATTAGATGTGTTACTTATCCGCGTATACTACTGTGAGAGTTTGTGACTCAGCCTCCATATCAGGTTTTAAAAATACATTCATATGCTGCAGATAAAACGACATTCATTGAGGACCCTGTATTAGGAATGAGGACCCACTGCCATCCATAAGGGTAGCCTAGAAGGCTCGTAAAAACTAAGATGCCATAGCTTATTACCAAGAGAATCCTTTCATGAAAGCGAAATGCATTTGAAATGATAATCCGTTAGTGACAAGGCCTACCAAACAGGGCAAGAAAAAAAGGACCAAACTCATACACTAGAGTGTAGAGCAGATAATGATGTAGAGAATTTCAGGTTGCCATGGAGACGTTCTCTGGCTCATTGGCTGTGAAGCTGCACCCCATCAGAAGCCACCACTCTCTTCTAAGCTCAAAATGAATTCAGTGCTATTCAGGGGGGATTCATTTACCTTCTCCCATGTGCCTAAAACTGCAGGGTGGGGAGGATCAACGAGGTCTACAGCGCAGTCCCTGCTGAAAACGTGCCAGCTGCAGAGCAGCACGTATGCCATGACTAGCTCAGAAGGTAATTAAATGCCCAGAAGTGTACTGTCAACAGGAAGTGGTGTCTGAGATCAGCAGAGACAGACATGAGCATGGACCAAAGTTATCAGGAAAGCCTCATGGCAGTAGAACGTGAGGGATGGTGACATTTGGCACATAGTAGGCCCTCAGTGAATAAGCACTCTGTGAATGAACAGAGAGGAGAGTGTTCCAGGCAGGAGGAAAACAATGAGCAGAGCTTCTAAGATGGGGACGGCATGTTACAAGACATTGAGGAGACAGCCCTGTGGGTGAGGGCCTTGGTGAGTAAGTGACATGGATAAGACAGTTGGGTGAGATTACTGGAGGCCTGAACTGAGACCTCATGGCTCTGGAGATTGATTGTAGGCCTGTGAATAGGGTGGTGATGTAATGAAAGCCATATTTTACAAACATGGGTCAACAGTTAAAGCCCAAGATAGACTGGAAGGGAGTGAAACTATAAACCAAGAGAGGTGGCGAGAGCCTAGACTTCTGTGGTGGATGTTTCACTGAGAGAAAGAAGGGATTGTACAAGGAAGCATTCAGAACATTTGACAACAGAGGAGAAATGGGTAGAAATACCTGAACTCCTCCTGAACACATCAGCTCTGGGACCCCATCGGAAGCCCAGGAGTCTGATCTGGGTTTGGGCTAGAGGTGGGTCCGGTCTTCCACTTTGGGGCGTGAAGCACAAGGAAAACCAGAAAAGATTGCAGAGGATGTTTCAGGCAGTGAAACTACTCTGTATGAGACTATAATGGTGGCTCTATGTCATCATACATTTGTTAAAAATCCATAGAAGGTACAACACCAAGGGTCAACCCTAATGTAACCTATGGACTTTGGGTGATAATGACATGTCAGTGTAGGCACACTGATTGTAGCAAATGTCCCACTCTGATGAGAGATGTTGGTTGTGAAGAGGCTGTGGGTGTTTCGGGGCAAAAGATATATGGGACAAACTTATACGTGCTGCTTACTGTCAGCCTAAGACAACTCTAAAAAAAATAAAGTAATAAAGTAAGTCCTTTCAAAAACAACAACAAAAATAATATAAATTGCCAGAGTTGGAATCAAAGACCTAACAGACAGTCAATATGTATTCAAAGGTCAATATGTAGACAAAGAGGGAAAACCCACCACGGAAAGACCACTAAACCATTTCAGTGGAAGCAGTATGGACATCTAGGAGATGAACTAGAGAAAGCAGAGGTGGTAGGAGCAGGGCCTTCCTGTGAAGGAAACCACAGGCTTTCCCCACCAGTGAAGACCCACCCAGGTGGATAGAAGGTTGCAGCCCTGAGTGGCAGGAAGAAGGGTGACAGGATGATGAGCCAAAGATGGGAGTTTAATTACACCCATTAAGGAAATTCTGCGACGGTGGTCCTCATTTCTTTGTTGGAGAAGTTAATTATACCCAGCATAGTCCCACAGTCCTGACAATATTTTGTGGGGAAGTAAGAGACAGAAAACCAACACCTGTTGCTTCCGTAGTTTGGGACCCATGACCCAAAACTAATTATTTGCTATGATCCTGGTTTATTTGTTTGATTGATTGAAACCATTAAAATGAGGATAATAGTTTTGGATTGCAATGTTATTGGCATGGTCTTCATGGCTTTCCTAAGCATTTTGACCTCTTGGATTCAAGGATGCCCTGACAACCTAATACTGCGGTAAGGAGAAAGACCCATTAGCATCTGAAAGAAGGATGTTAAAATAAGCATGTTAACAATAGGTTAAACAGCCCGTGGTTAATATCACTGCTTACATCTTACCTCCCTTTCAGCGAGTCCTGGCTTATATTGGATATTCATGAACAGTTCAAGGTTCTTGATTACACAAGGACCCATAATACAAAAAAAGTTTAGACTGATGGCACTGAAAGTATGCAGATTTTTTTTTAATATATCAGACCAAACCTTTAAAGGTACTGTCTGGTGGAGTAGTTTTGTGTAACCTGGGGTCATTACATCCACTCAGATCAGTCTCTGGGTGAATTGCCTTCATCTCCCAGCAGAGTTGGTGTCGGCCAGGGTTATTGCTTTAATAATGCACACGTCTGCTGTTAATGTTTACCAGCTAGCTAATCAGCGCTCTGGAGAATACATGCCACACTGGCATTGTTACAAGGCAGACATCATTTTACAAGGAACTTCATTATAACTGCAGTGTAATCATACGGCAGTCCCTCTTTTCATGTCTCACCATGAAGCTTTAAAATAATTATATATGGATAGAGCCATACAGCTCTAGGTACCATTTAGTTATATAAATGGCACTGATTTTCATAAAGATACATACATATGTTCACCCATACATACCCATACAATTATTATAAGATATATTTACAATCATTACATTAAAGAGTGAGTGTTTGTATAAATATCATGTGAAGTAAGATTGTTCACTTGTTTTCTTAACTATGCAATGAAAAACCTGATTCCTAAATTAGGCATTGGGAACCGTGTTAACGATGTGCATATACAATGTGTTAAATGTAAACGATGTGCATCTACTGAGTGTGTTTTGAATCGCTAACTGAAGAGAAATATACTCGTTGTGTTTTATGTAAGGGCAGTAATTGGGAAATGCATACAGTACCTGATTCCATATTAAGCGGAGTTTTTACATTGTGATTCAGGTTTGAGTAAAAGGGAAGATGATTTTCAAAAGATCTTACACTTCCACAGTAATGACATTTGATATCATCCTCTCCTCATAGGCCGCGCAGTGCAGATTATTTTATGCAAGAAGCTAAACGGATGAAGCATAAAGCAGATGCAATGGTACGTTCCTTTTCTTCCCAGATACGCTTTTCCAAATTGTGTTTGCACTGCACCTTCATCATTGGGAAAATATAAGCCGGGGTAATTATAAAATCTATTACAGGGATGGCTGGGTCTGTTACATGGAGAAATGTTTATATAATCAAGTGCTCATAGCCCAATAAATTATGACTTCAACCAATAATGTCTGACTGGGAGAAAGTTCTGGGTAAATGGGTATTTTAATTTAGTCCTAAGATTTGAATAGTAACTAAAGGCAGTGGAGTCAGCGGATGGCAGCATTTTTTTCCTTTAAAAATAAAATCTAGGTTTGCATCTTTCTGTCTCGTTAGCCTGGCCAACCCTTGGCATGGTCCCAGGATCTAATCCCTTTTCAAAAAGACTTGTGTTCTTCATGTGGATCTGCCAAAATGAATATTTCTCGGAAGCTGTGTGACATAGAAACTATGATACTGCACCTAAGACTCTAAAAGTCACCGCAATTTGATGTTTAAAAAAATTTTTTCTTGCTTGTAGAATCTCCTGTTTTGGAAAGCTTGAAGCTTTTTAGGCATTAAATTACAAAAAAAAAACAGTAAAAAAAAAAGCTTGTTTTTTTCTAAAAGAGGTCATATGGTTATTTCATCTTGAGGTCTCGTCCAAGGGGCCTCCTACCTGCCCGGGAATGTCAGCTCTGGTCCCCTCCAGCATTTATAACTGAGATCAGGGGGAGCTGGAGATGAATACAGCATTTCAGATGCCCTTCACTGTATTTGTCCCGTGTTGAAGGTGTTCAAACCCTAACAAGTACGCCTCTCGGTGTTGCTGATGTTGCCCATCAGATATTTATTTGATAAAGATCACTGCCTTGGTTTGCTAGTCAACAGGGGACATAACCAGACCATCAGAAAATAGAGAGGAAAATGGAAGGGACAGTTCTGGTGGAGAGTCCCTGTCACCTGAAGAATCTGAGGCATGATTGCTACTGCAGAAGAGCGTTGAGTACTAAAGCAGAATGAAATTCTCTGCCTGAATTATCCAAGGGCTACCAGGGTTATTCATTCAGTGTCATCTTGCCCAGCCCGACACTCTGCTCCAGCCAGAGTGGTCCCCTGCTGGCCTCTAAGCACACCTCGCTGATACCAGCCAGTGGGCCTTTGCACTGTAGACTCTCACACTCACACACACTCACTCTTGTGCACACTCACACCTTCAGCATACTCCCCAAAGCCAGTCAAATGCTACAATTTCTTCCCAGGGTCCTTGTCAGGTTTCCTCCCCAGCCTCTCTGCGGCCCCATCCATCACTTGTTCCCTTTCTACCATCTCTTGTTCACTGGGCTCCTTGCTTTGCATTCTTGTTCATCACAGACTGCCTTGTGCTATGCATTGTCTTGTGGGTACACATTTTCTCTCTCCAAATGTATTATATGTTCCTGGAGGGAACTTGTGTGTATCAAGTGTACATAGCACAGAATTGGGTGCTTCAGAAAATATTTACTGAGTGAAATGACTTCCTTCATCTGAAAAGTGTTGTCAAGAAATATTGCTTGATATCCTACTAAGGTTATAAGCTGTTTAAAACTTTGATTTGCTAATGAGGGAGAGTTTTGCTCTACATTTCTTTTTTCTAAAGCACAGTTACAAGTGAGATTTTTTTTTCAGAGGGAAGACTTATATTAGTAATTAGAGTATTTGTGTAATTCTGTTTTGATTAATGAATGAATATTTGAAAACTGGGGAGATTATGCAATTCGTACTTAGGATATGTACTTATCCACAGAGAGTAACTATGTAGGGAATGAGGAACTTGATGGGTAAATTTAGATTCACAAGGACCTAAGAATATAAAGCTGATTTTTGCTGATGTGGGGAAAGGCTAACATCAATTTAGACAACCCCATGTAATCCAAAACAACATTTTTTATTAAATTTCAACTCTGTGTCACATTTTAGCTAAGCTGAAATAGTGCCTTGAGTTTTATCTCCTCTCCTTTCCTCTCCTTACTCTCACCCTTAAGTGAACGGTAAAATAACTAGAAAAAAAAACAATAAGAGAAAGGAATGGAGATGTAAATGTCACAGATATTGTAAAAGACAATAACCAAGGCTGGTCAACCATCAAAGTTGGAGTATGCCCAAAAAAGTATGAAAACGCTTATGTGAAATCAGACATAGCAACTTTGCAGTATATTTAGCTTCGCATGGAAAGACAAGGAATGAAGTTGCCAAGCTATTTGGGGTTACAAGGAGGGAAACAGAGATTAGAGCAATCGTGACGTTCTAAGCAATTCTGATTGGCAGTCACTATACGGATTTGGTACAATTCTGTACGTAACTGTTCACTCACTTAGACTGTGTGACAATGGCATTTTAAAAACTGTATGCTTAAGGAAGACACTGTATTCACTCTGTTGATCAGGTGGAAAAGTTTGGGAAGGCCTTGAACTACGCTGAAGCAGCCTTGTCATTCATTGAGTGTGGAAATGCAATGGAGCAGGGCCCAATGGAATCCAAATCTCCTTATACCATGTATTCAGAAACAGTGGAGCTCATCAGGTAAGCACTGTGTTTTTTTATGCTAGGGGGTGGGGGTGAAGAAAGTGTGTGAGTCCTCAGAATACAGAGAAAAGAATGTCATCCTGCACTGTCAGCTACCAAGAACCAACCAAAAGTAAGAATGTGAGGTTTTGCATGACAATTATGGCGCGTGCACGTGCGCGCGCGCACGCGCACACACACCCATCTCCTTTTCTCTGTGAGCCAGGCAAGGCAGCTCCAGCAAGGGAAGGAAGCTGAGTCTTGAGTGAGACGTGATAAGCCCACTTCACCCTGCTAGGAAGTGACACATTTGTAATGCATTCCACCTCCATGCTGCTTTTTTTTGTATCTGACCCAGGTTAGTATAATCTCAGTCCTAACTCCACACAACTCAGGAGTATTTAATGAAAGGAAAGAGAATGCATGGGGATTTTAGGAAAGGAAATTCATTGTATGGTATACTATCTCAGAGAGTCCTGGTGTTGTATTGGTCTAAGATCTGGGTATGAGCAGCATTCCCCAACCTGGGTTAAGACATGTAATATGAACAGAAGCAGGGTTTCTGATGGGCACACATCATGGGGTTGATGGGAGATGCTTGTCTTCCATGATGGAGACCTGGAAAGGCACATTGTTATCATCTCTTTAATGAACCATTATGGGAATTTCATTCACTAACCCTATTGAGAACCTTTGTCATATGATTTATGTTTTTAGCCAGTTCAACTGCTCTGGATAATGTCTAAAACCATGATGTAAAATTATTTTTCCTGGGGCCGGCCGAGTGGCGCATTGGTTAAGAGCTGGCTTGGGACGCCAGAGGGAGCCCTGTTCGTATCCCACATATGAGGGCCAGTGACACTGCCCTCTACAGATAATGTGCTAAACAACAGCTCAACCTGGAGCTGCGCTGCCGAGAGTCGCCGGCGATGGCATAGGCTGCAGCCCCTGCTGCAGTGGGTTGCCATGGGCTACTGTGTGTAGCCAGCAGCCACCGAGAGTGGCTGTCCAGAAGCTGGCGACTGATCTGCCTCACCTGGGAAGAGCGCATTGATGGTGCCAACTTGGGCCAGTGAAGCAATGTCCTCCACAACTAGACTGAAGAACAAAAGGACAGCAACTTGTCTGTTCCCCTCCCCACAATTCCCCAGTGCTGTTCGCATCCCCCAATCCCCCAATAAAAATCTTAAAAAAAAATTGTTTTTCCCAAAATTAACAGAAACAAAAATCTCACTGGATGGGCTTAGTCATAGAGTGGAGATGACTGAGGATAAAAATCAATGAACAGGAAGTAGAATTTACCCAAACTGAGCAACAGAGACAAAATAGACTGAGAAGGAAAAAGGATAGAGCCTCAGGCACAATGACAAAAGATCCGACATATGTATCTTTGGCTTCCCGGAAAGAGAGGAAGAGAGTAGGACTGAAAGAGTATTTGAAGAAGTAATAGCTGAAACTTGCCAAATTTGGCAAAAGATATAAACCTACAGGCTCAAGGAGCTGAGAAAAACCCAAATAGGGTAAACCCTAAGAAATGCATGTGAAGACACGTCATAACTACATTCCTGAAATTTCTGAAAAACTAAAGACAAAACAAATCTTGAAGCAGCCAGAGAGAAATGTCACGTTACCTAGAGGGAGCACCAATTCAAGTGACAGCAGACTTCTCAGCCGAAACCATGGACACCACAAGGGAGTGGCACTACATTTTTTAAGTTCTGAAAAAAAAAAGAAACTGTCAAACCGTGAATCCTAGGTTCAGCGAAACTTCATTCTTCGGGAATGAAGAGGAAATAAAAATATTCTCAGACTAAAGAAAACTAAAAGTTTTTGTTTCTAACAGATTCTCCCTTACACATTGGCTAAAGGAAGTTCCTCAAACAGAGAAAGTAAATGACAAAATAAGGAATCTTGGGGCATCAGGAAAGAAGAAAGAATAGTGAAAAAAACAGAAATTTGGATACCTGCAATAAACTGTCCTCATGAGTTTTAGAAATCATACTGGATGATTGAAACAAATTATACCACCATCTGATATTCAAGACAGTGTTTATGTAAAAGTGGGGAAAGTAAAGGGACCTAAGTGGAAGTCAGGTTTCCACACTTCACCCAAAGTGGAAAATGCTGATACCAGTAAATTGGGATGTCACATACATACCGGGGGTGCCAAAAACAATGTATACAATGACTTGTATTCATCTTTTGTTATCGGTGTATATTACAATTTTTTTTAACTGAGCCATCCTGCCACCTGTTGGCAGCTCAGCGGCAGCTCAACTCAGGCTAGAACTCAAACCGCTGTTGCTCAGAGCTCGC